TCCCCCCCGCCCCCCCCCCCAGCCCCCCCCCCCAAAGCCTGTAGCGCTGCTGGGGTTGTTGTGACCCAAGGGCAGGACCCAGCACTTGGCCTTGTTGAACCTCATATAATTGACCCTAGCCCATCTATCCAGCCTGTGCAGGTCCCTATGAAGAGCCTTCCTACCCTCCAGCAGATCAAGACTCCCACCTAACTTGGTGTCATCTGGAAGCTTACTGAGGGTGCTCTCAATCTCCTCATCAAGATCATTAGTGCAAATACTAATTGAGAGTGGCCTCAACACTAAGCTCTGGGGTACAGTGCTTGTGTATGGCTACCAACTGGATTTAACTCTGTTCACCACTTTAACTCGTAACAACTACAACAAATAGCAGTCTGGGCTCTTCTGTTGGTGATATCACGGTAGAGAGGGCATACAACCAAAGACTGGCTATGCAGATCTGAAGCTGTGAAAGCATCCCCCCCAAAACCCCCATGCCACTACAATTCAAAATGTCAAGGTAACCAAAGCTTTCTTTGAGGTCAGCCTTTTCCTTTGAGCAGACCAGGTTACGAGGTCAAAATCAAGTTGATACTCACATCTACATCACATGCACAAGAATGATGATGTGCGTTCTTACAAGTTGTACCTGCAAGTTCAACTTATTTCTAAGAGGATCATGTTTCCACACTCAAACCACCTTTCCCACGTTAGCACTTGCCCTCTCTGTTTGTAAGGGAGCCACTGGCATTTCTCAAAAGACTTTCTTCTTTATCCCATCTCACTCTGCAGAAGGTGATCAAAGCTCATCACAAGCACAGCAAGGCACAACTATAAACCATGTCTTTTGTTGAGCCAAGCCAACACAAAGTGATTTCTTGGCATGAGCATAATTTAATGTCTTTTCGAAGGTCATCTACCCTGCCTGCTTTAGCATTTACTGCACTCTCTGGGCCCAGCCATCCAGCCAGTGTTTGATCTGGCAGAGTGTACGCCCATCCAAGCCCTGAGCAGCCAGTTTCTTCATGAGGATGCTGTGGGGAACAGTATCAAAGGCTTTACTGAAGTCTAGGTAAACAGCATCTACAGCCTTTCTCTCATCCACCAAGCAGGCCACACTGTCATAGAAGGAGATCAGGTTTGTTAAGCGGGACCTGCCCTTCATGAATCTGCGTTGACTGGGCCTGATCGCATGGTTGTCCTGTCAATGGAATGGCATGGCACTTGAGATGATTTGTTCCATGACCTTCCCTGGCACTTAGATCAGCCTTGCAGACCTGTGGTTCCCTGGATCCTCATTCCGGCCCTTCTTGTAGATGGGCATCACACTTACTAATCTCCAGTTCACGAGATCTCCCTGGTTAGTCAGGACTGTTGATAAGTTTTAAAAAGTGGCTTGGTGAGCACATCTGCCAACTCCTTCGATGCTTTTGGGTGTAACTCATCTGGCCCTGTAGGCTTGTGGATGTTTAGCTGGTACAGTGGGTTGCTAACCATTTCCTCTTGGATTATGGAGGTCTCCTTCTGTTCCGTGTCCCTGTCTTCTAGCTCAAGGGGCTGGGTACTGACCAAACAGCTAGTCCTGCTACTAAAGAAGGCATCAAGTACCTCAGCCTTTTCCTCATCCTTTGTCACTGTGTTTCTCATAGTGCTAGAGACAAGCAAAGGGAAAGGTCTGTCATGTCAGAGGCCATTGGTAATGTAGGGAGAGAAAAAGTCAGTACTTATCTGAATGAAAAAGGACAGAAATCAAGGGGAAACTGCTGTTCATATCTGCATCCAGAAAGGTGGGAAGAAGAGGAAAGGATTCGAAATCCTAAGGGGGATTCCTAAGGGAGGAAAGCCTGGGTTTGGAGATCTGTGGGGGGGGTCTGAGTGCCAACAACTTGGGAGTGACTCTAAAATATACTGTGTAGCTGAGAATGAAATGTTTATCCTAAATGGTAGCACAGGAGAGAAAGCATAATAATCTCTAGTCAGGAATTTTCCTATGACTTCTCAAATTTCTGACACTTATTTCCAAAAGAAAAATACAGGTGGATTTTTTTTTTTCAAAAGGAAAACAAACAAAAACCCCAAAACAAAACACCAAACTTCTTGTTTTGCAGTGAAGAGATATATCAGGAAAGGCATCCCCAATGAACACCGCGCATTGGTCTGGATGATTGTGAGTGGGGCCCAAACCAACATGGAACAAAACCCTGGATATTACTACAGACTGCTTGAAGGAGAGAAGAATGGCAAACTGGTTGAAGCAATCAAAACAGGTTATTATCCTGATAACACTGTTCATCCGTGTTTGTCTATCCTATGTCCTTAAACATTAGAGATCAACTTATGTCATGGAAAACTTACGTTTCTGTTGTAGTGGTTTAAGTGCTGAATTAACATGTAAATTAGATTAGCCATAAGCTCTTTAACAGCACTGATCTTTCCAGGTTCATCATGTCATCAAGAGGACTTAGGTAGATTAGATTTTTTTTGGTGAGGAACAGAGTACAAGCTAGAAAACGTTATGTCATCTCCTAGGTGACTGAAGATTTATAACTTTGTACCATGAGACCTGCCTTTGGGTCTGTTCCCCCTTATTGCTGTCCTAGCAAGACACTGGAAGAGCAGCAGAGATGAATGAAGACGTGGTGCAGTGTCCGTATGAGGCAGGTAAGGTATGTTAGGGTTTCAGATTGAGGAAGAAGACTGCTGGGGGAAAAAGCGAGCTATATGAATTATAAATGGTGTAGAGAAGGTGAATGAGGAGTTGTAGTCATTTGTTTCTTGTGACATAAGAACCAAGGACGCTGAATGAAGCCTGCCGTGCTATAGTTTTAGAAGAGTATGTGTCACTGAATTGTGGCACTTGTTACAGGAGGCCGAAAGAATGAACTGTTTAAAAAAAGGAATTTGACAAACTAGGGGGTGCGGAAATCCACCTGATGCACAGAATTCTGAACGCTAAATATAAGTTCCTGAAAGGGAAGTGCAAAACGAGAAATACCCCGGTGACATTAGTCAGTGGCCAGTATTGGTGGCAGGTTATTAGGGTAATGAGCTCTTAGACTGTCCTGCTGGGTGTTTAAAAGAGGCAACAGGGGAGGACAGGCAAGTAGAAGTTTGATGGAAATCATACTTGTCCTGAAACTTTGCAACCTGCTGCTGCAGAGCTTTTGTAGAGGAGCTGGTATTGGCAAAATTGCCAAATTAAAGAGTCGAGAGGTCAGGCTGTGCTCTGGACAAGCACAGTGCTGAGGGTGTTTTGTTAGAATGGCAGCTGCAATTGGCTGTTTCTCTTGAAATAGCCAGGCAGTTAAGGTTGCGACTGTATGGATTTTTGAGTTGGATGACCACGTGAACACTTCTTGGTTTATGCTGAGTTTCTCCTTCACCTCTCCCTGCAGCAGCAGCGCGGTGGGAGTTTGGGACTCCACGCCTTAGGAAGGCATTTCGGAGCATAAACTTTCGTGTTCCTACGAATGCGAAGACTAGACAGAAATAGCCAGGCTCATATCTTGCTCAGAACTAGAAACAGCGGAGCTCTAACTGTGAATATGGAGGGAGCTACTAAGATGATTTTTCTAAAGCCAACCTTGGTAAGGGCCTGGAGGAGGATCGAGTTGTGTTCACTTGGGGTGCAATTGCTGCAAGAGGGAGTTGCAAGCTATTTCTTTTTCAGTACTAGACAGGACTAGAAGGACTAGACTAGTACTAGGAGGGTCTTACCATGACAGTAGGTGGCTTTTCACACAGTTTAGATCATGAAATAAAATTACTTCTGTGGTGGAGGAAAAATAACAGAAGGTAAAGATCTGTTTATGGATCAGGGAAGAAATAAAGTTTTGGAAGAGCTACTGCATTGATTGGAAAACTACAGGGGAGAAAACTAACAAGGAGCATGTCAGGGAAGTCGTAAAGAAAACTGGGTTGAAAGATTTTGTTGAAGGTGGAATAAAAAAAAGAGCACCTCAGACTCCGGGGTGATACATTTCCCCTAAGAATGAAAGAAACAATGTGAACATAGGAGGGATGGAAGGAGCAAAGTACTTAGGGTGAATGGACACTTTGTGTTTAATAAATTTCGTGCTCCTTTTGGCTGTGCAAACTTTATAGTGGGCTTTAGCAAAGACTATTTCAGTGTGAATTGTTGTCTGACATTCAGTTATCAGCCAGTCCCCTGAGCCTGCCCTGCACTGCGTGATCGCTGGCGTAAGGATCTGTCTGCATGGATTGGATAGTACTTGGAGGATCTTAGCTTAGTTTACAGTGGGGTCGGAAAAAGTAATTCAAGCAATAGCCGTTGCCACTTCACTGGAGACTGAATACTTTACTGTCAAAGCATTAATAAGCTTCTCTGAATGGGGTAAACTGTTAGCAAAGGTTGGGACTTTTCATGTGAGTTTGGGGCATTTAACTGTTCAAGAGTCAACTCTTCTGGCTGGCTCTAAGAAAAACCATGCTAGTCATATCCAGAGGGCTACCTCATCTGGTCTTCTGTCTACCAGCACAGCTGAAGAAGGAACTCGAGGAGCAAGGTGCACAGTGATACTTACATTGTTTTTCCTAGTCTCCAGTTATCTATGGTTTGTGGAGTTCCTGAATCGTATATTTGTATTTAGTAACACTGGATGTGGAAAAAGTAAATCACAGAAAACCCTCTGGCTGCTTTCTTTTCATCTCATTTACCTTGGTTGTGATTTTGCAGATTTGTGCTGTCTTGCTCACAAGCATCTCCCTCCAAACTGAGGAGGTCTAATCCACTTAGTTTTATGTGGTGTATGGTAACCGTTTCATACCCATGATTTTCCTTGCAGTTTCTCCAAATCTGATATCACCTTTTTGAGATGAAAGGCACTGGTATTTATGCAGGTGCTTCTCGGATTTATATGGGGGCATTACTGTTCTTTCGTAGGAAATTAAAGTCTTCTTTGCTTTCTTGATTGCTGGAAGCTACCAAACTTGCTTAGTGCTGGTGGTCATGGGGTGTCAGGCTCAGTTTTTCTTTTTTTTAGTTGATAGCAACCTTGATCTTAACTTTAAAAAAAAAAAAAAAAAAAAAGAAGAAAAAAAAACCCAAACCCACAAAACAAACCCCAAACCTCCAAAACAATTTAGTATTCAAGGTGTCGCAGGGAAAAACTTGAAGATGAGTCCTAGATATCCAGTTATAACAGATTTAAAATACCCTTTAAGTGTATTATTTTTATAAGTTGTTACTGATGACCTAACCTCGTTATTCTGGAAGTTGCACTGGAGTTTGTGAATGCCTGTAGTTGGCAGTTGAGGTGAATCCTTGTTCTGCTCTTTATTAAGTAAGTAAGTAAATAAATAAAATACCTGCCTGGAAGCTGTTCAGAGCAGAGGTTCATGGAATCATAGGATGGTTTTGGTTGGAAGGAACTTAAGATCATCTAGTTCCAACCCCGCTGCCATGGGCAGAGACACCTCCTACTAGACCAGGTTACTCAGAGCCCCATCCAGCCTGGCCTTGGACACTTCCAGGGAGGGGGCATCCGAAACTGCTCTGGAAAACCCATTCCAGTGCCTCACCATCCTCACAGAAAAGATAGAGGGAAGTTATAGATGTAGCAGTAGCAAAGAAGCGACTGTAAGTGGAGTAGAGGATGTTAGTTATAAGAATAATTGTTTAATTTACTGGACGCTGTGTCTGGGCATAGGCAGCACCTGGATGTGAGAGTAAGAACAGAAAGGGGATGAGAAGGCAAGATGAAGAAAGTTGACATGTTGTAGGTGTCTTGACTTGTGAAGTACCCTGAATATCAAAAGCACAAGACTTAGACAAAAGCATTACTCCTCTGGGTTGCACATTTAAATCTCTTTACTCCAGAAGCAGCATCGACAGTTGTGATTCCAGGTGCTAAGACAGAGGTCCGTTTTGTGAAATGAGGCCACTGTGGCTCTCTACCTGTAACTGTGTTACTGAATGAGAGGAGACAATAATGCAGGTCTGTGAAAGGGTAGAAATAAGCCAATGGTCTTCTCGTAGTTACTATAGAGAAATAAATTAACAGAAGGGGAAAGCTGTTGGTTTTGTGCCACCTTTACAGCACTGAAGGATCATCTGAAAAAATGCAATTTGGGTTTAATCTGAATTTACTGCAAAGGAGTAGCTAGTCTTTATTTTGTGGCCTTCTTCCTGGTCCCATGTGCCTACACTTCGTTTGGTTATAGCCAGCAGATGGGCACACAACCATGAGATGGGCATAGTTTGGGGATTTCTCTAGCAGGATAAAGTTCTAATGTTCATTTCCCTGCTTGAAAACAATCGTGTGGGTTTTTTTTTTCTCCCAAACTGGACTAATTTGAGGTTGTGTTCCTTTGGATTTTAATATCTATCTTCTTTTAAGGGTGAAGAAACTCTCGTATCTTGGTTTTGTCTCTGTCCCCTCCTCCCAAACTAAAACAGTTACTAAATACAAAGAAAAATTTTAAATCCTTCGTAAAATTAGGGAAGGCATCCCACAGTCCTTGTGGGAAAAACAGAAGGCAAATTGGAGCTAATTCTCTCAACTGCAGGCCTTCCTCTGATTGTGAAATTAAAGATGAGTTCAGCTTGAGTAGTCTCTGCCCTGTACCTGATGGGCTTTTAGTCCTCCCCCCTCACCCACGTTCTGCATAGCTGAGGGCAAGAGCCGTAACTGAAACGTTAGCATTAATATCTTCTGTAACATCCAGCATATACTTTAATAAACAACAACATTTGGATTATGCAAATACTAAGCAACTTTGGTTGCTTACAGCTCAGCTTTGTGTCAGAGCTGTAACAGAATTTCCTTTATGCAGGAAAAGGCTGATAAAAAGTGATAACTCTTAGGACAGAGATATCTGTACAGTAGTGCTGGTACTGAATTATTTTTTTTAACTTAAACTGAATTTTTTGTTGTTGTTAAATATAACCAGAATGACTATTTGTATTTTTTTAACAAGTCTCAGGTTTGGAAAGTCTTCAAAGTTGCTTTTGAATAGGATTTTTCTCCCCAGTTTAAACTTCTGAAAATCAGATGCACAAGTCCAGACTAATGACCTTGAGTTCCCTCTTTATAGAGTGAAACAGGCCAAAAACTAACTCTTCCAGTTTCTTTCCAACAAGTAAAAGGAGTTTTGGGTGACTAGCTCTAACTTGGGTGTCTAATTTTTAGACCTTTGTAAGGAGGGATGAGCCTCACTGTTCGTGTTTGGTCCGGAAGAAATGAATGTTTTCAAATGTCAGTAATTGCATAGGCCTTACTTGGTTTAGGATAGAGCTTGAAACATGTGCGATGTGCTCTGCTGCTTGGATATCAAAAATCACTCTTCTCTGTAGTCTTGCACCAGTGAAGAAACAACTTTTCTCATGATCACATCATGGAAAAACTTTTTTTTTAAAAAAAAAACCCAAAACACAACAAACTTTTAAAAGGTGATTTTTTTGGTTGGAAGTCACCAACTGCAGGAACAGGACTTTTTTTTTAAGCTGATTGGGACTGTTTGGTAGAAGTTCACTGAATAAGTTAATTGAAGGTTCATCTGGTTTGTCACGAGAATACGTTTTCTTAGAAGTGTAGCTTCGTTTCATGCCAGCTGGCTAGAGAAATTTCGTGTGTTGTGTTATTTCTGTCAGGCTAAGTATCTGGATTGCTTTCATTTAAGCCTTTGCGGTCAGATATTGAGATCTGCAGAAGAATTTCTTTAGTCCTGCTTGAGATTGATTTCTGTACACTAATAGGATTAATCTTTCTAGGAATGGATTATCCTTGAATGCAGATGGCCTTTTAGCCAAAATGGAGCTAAAGCTGTTTTTCAAAATTCATCCACCAAAACTACAGTTTAATGAACTGTAATGAAGTTTCAGTTATATTTCAGAAGAGCTGTGAAAGTTTTGTTTGGAAAGCAAAGGAGAGAGCAGCTCTTAATTTTGGTCTTTTTTTCTGCTTTTTGTCCAGACATGAACAGAACATTTCCAGATAATGTAAAATTCCGAAAAACCGCTGACCCCTGTTTGCAGCACACGCTCTACAACGTGTTGGTAGCATATGGGCATCATAATAAAGCAGTAGGATATTGTCAGGTATGTAATCACTGGTTTTTAAACAATGCAACATTTTGCCAGTAGTAATTGTTCTGGTCCTTTTAAATGTGTGTTTCTAGAAGCAGATCCACAAACTATTTCTGTTTTTAAATGGTCCTGGATGGTGGAGGGGAATGGAAATTAATTGCTTCAGGCGAGTTCAGATGTCCTTTTGAGTTACTCTGTGGACTTATTTGTAGCTAGCTGGACCACCTCTGGGTTTGTTAGCTGCAAAATAAGTGTTTTATCACACCTGGTTGTATCAAGATGAGTTACCTGGGGGAGGAAGAGCAAGCCAGCTTGCCTTTCCCTCTCCCTCCCTCCTGCCATCTTTCCCAGAACAGTCCTTGGTAGGTACGAGGCATCAGGAGATCTCAATTTCCTTTGATTTCATTTTCCTTTGATCACATTTTTCAAAAGAGGGGCAGGCCAGTATTCATGCGACAGCATGTAGTCATGGTGGTGGTAGCATTTGTTGGTGCCATCTCCCAGTATAGAGAGGCAAGTAGGAAGAAGATTTGAAATTCAGCCTGATGGCAGCTCAGAAAAGCTCTTGTTGTCGCCACTAAGTACTGTCAAATTTCCTGTGGGACACAAAGAAGATAAAATCTGATTCACAACAGTCAAGAAAAAAGCAGCCATCTTTAAGGACTGCACAGCAGCAGGAACTGCCAAGAGTTTTCAGTGTTTTCAGTTCAGTTATTAAGTCCTCTCCTCTCTCCTCCCCTTCCTCACCAGGGATATGTGTACTTGCTAACCTGTACCTCATGTTAGTTGAGAAGGTTGGTGGAGTAAGTACAACTGTTCCAAAATTAAAGAATATGAATTGTATTTTTTGAAATCTGGAGAGGAGAAGACTTAGAGGGACTTTAAACATAGACTGAAGTCACTAAAAAAATTTCTTTTTGTGTATCCCAACCAGTTTTAGTACAGAAATTATTTGAAGAATGAGAGTAAAAGATAGATAGTTTTCATTATTTTCAGTATTACCTATTTGTAAAATACAATTTTAATACTTTGAGAATAACAGAAGGGGTAGAATTACGAATGCTCTCTTTTACAAGTGTTAGGCTCCTATGTAGAGGTAGTTACACCCACAAACGTACACAACTTCTAACTCATGCTAGCTTTTACCCAAAATATATGTCCAATTGTTACTAAAACATTTCAGTACATTAAGTGTTTAATTGGCTAATGTTTGCATTTTAACATGGCATTGTGAACACTGGAGATGATAAAAGAAGCCTTGTGTGGTTTCTTTTCACCTCTGGTCTCCTCACAGGATGAATGTTATCTTTTCTGGCTAAATAATTAGAACATAAACTAAAAGTCAGCATCTGCTTTCCGAGACGTGTTGTAAATCAAGCAAAGTTTCAGGAAACCACCTTTTCTGCTAGTGAAGCAATGTAGCAATACCCACTGCATGATAAGAGAGACCCCATAAATACTAAAAATCTCAGCGAGAAAAAGGGATTTATTTTTTTTTTTCCCAAGTGTTTTGCAGAGCTTTTACTGACTGAAGGCTCTTCAGGGAAAATTTCCGTAATGCTGTTGCATTTGTGGTGCTTACTGACATTCAGGTCTCCCATCTGGGGATTGTCTTAGGCTTTGCATTGTCACGCCGGGACAGTGCTACGGTGTTGCCTACCCCAGTATAACCAGCAAAATTCAGTGTCTGGTGAACATAATGCTCCAGAGCAGCGTTTTCGTGCGTGCCACGTTAAATGCTCACCAGCCTCTTGTTACCACAGATGCGATCCCTAAACTGACCCTCAGCAAGGAGACCAATAGTTCTTCTTCCTAAACTAGGAGGTCGGGTGGGGCCGTGTGAAGTCTGCCCGAGCCATTTCTGTAGCAACTGCTGTAGTGACTCAAAGCTTGAGAAATGAAACACTGGAAAAGATGCAGTGTCCTAATATTTCCATGTTCTGGGAACGTCGCAAAGCCTTCTGAGGTGGGGCAGGTGAGTCAAATTCGTTGAGTGCAAGTCAGAGTTGGCAGCACCATGGAATACGTGGGGACAGTGGTGGTGAGAGATGCGCTGGAGAAGTCCACCTCGGAGGGAGAGAGGACAGGGAGATGGTCGAGGAAAGGGATGAAACCCAAGAAGGCGAAATAACCACGCCAGTCTTCATGGCCTGTAAATATTTAAAGATAGTTTTGTGCTAGCTTGGGAAGACTTGTCGGGGGCTTGCACCTCAGAGGCAGCTTCTGTATATTGTTGTACTGGCATGCTGTCTGTGTTACAACAGTTGTCAGCACGCTGCCAGTGGAAGACCTACTTAAAAAGTGCTCAAGGAAGTGCACTGCTCTGCACATAAATCAGTAGCATTGCCATAACTTAGCAGTGTTATGGTGGATGAAAGGAAAAAAATGCTTGAGACAGAGACAATGTGTTTACAGGGAATATCAGTTTGTGTGTGTTCTGCGTGCCGCTTCTCCAGTCAGAAGGTGTCAGTAATGGTTAGGAAAGTTGCACACTTGAAATTTGGCCAATTGGATTTGTCTACTCTTCAGAAATTTTCTGGTAGCTCTTCCAAATCCCCCAGGTCCTGGTGTTTACCTCCTATTTGCAAGTTGAAAGGCAGGAGCTATAGTGGCCAGTCATTGACTAGTGTGGGGAGTACTGAGGGTATTATGGAAGCAAGTAATTTGTATACAGTCCTTTGAGTTAAGTAACAACAGCTTGTAAAAGCTGCTGGAGCTGTAACTTTGTTAGTCAAAAGTGTTTGGGTTGGGCATTTTCCTTCTGCAGCGGCACTGTCTACCTGCAGGTGTGTTGTTTGTACTGCACGTCTAACAGAGCTGGGGTTTTGGTTCTGGTCTTCAGTTACATTGAGATGAGGCTTTGGGATATAAAAAAAATTTGAAGGTAAATAATACCAAGATTTTTTTTACAATTTTCCTCTCCTTCGTCTTTGTAAATAATTCTTGTTAGCTGCTGTTGTGCAGGTTTAACAGCTTACTCAACCAGTGGCCTTTTATTTCTAGCTTTTACTTAATATTCCCACTTGGTAGAACTGCAGTAATTTAGCCCTTAATCAAAAGAAATAAACTATAAACTCCTGTGTGTGTGCATCTTAACCCCCTTCTTTCTGTTTCAGGGCATGAACTTCATAGCTGGATACCTGATTCTTATTACGAAGAATGAAGAGGAGTCTTTTTGGTTGCTAGATGCTCTTATTGGAAGAATATTACCTGGTAGGCTGAAAACATTCATAGTTGCATTCATATATTGGAGCTTGGCTTTTATTTTTTCTTTGCATTCTTCTCAGTTTTTAGATGTTAAAAGCGACTTGCATGGACTGAAGTTTTTCTAGGGTCCTGGAAACATAGGACGAAGAGAGCGGTTTTTGTGTATGTTAATTTGCAGTCTAACTTCTCAGTCCTTACTTACACCTGTTAGGTAGGTGTTTTCCTGTATCGATGTGACTCTGGGGGACGAGCCTCACGGGGTTTGGTGCTTCTAGTTGCAGGAACACAACATGAGCCGCAGGTGAAGCTGTGATTGAAGAGCAGAGCGAAGATGGGATACGTGCGCTGAGCCTGAAGTAGGAATTCCCGGGGGCTTGGCTGGGGGCAGAGCAGGGTATTTGGCAAGGCGGTGAGAGTTCTTGCTGTGTCCCCCGTCCCCCACTTCTGAGCGAGGATATCTTAGGCACTTGACGCGTTGTGATTTTTGCAACAGAACAAAGAAATGTCAAAATCCCAGGCTGTGTCTGCACGTGAAGTTCTTGTCAAAACTCTGTCAGTGGTGATCTAGTTGACCTGGTCAGTACAGTCCAGAGGGAAATCCAGCACACCCTGAGCTATAGACAATATCTACATCTGGTCGCTTTGGTGGCTCTGTAGGTTCCCTTGCCTGGATCCCATCCATCTGCAAGAGGTGTTTGTTTACACACTGGATTTTGCCCCATGTATAAGCTGAAACTGACCACATATGTGGAGTAGTTTAAAACCAGAAGCAGACATTGGGCACAACTGTGGGGTTGTTTTTTTTATACTCCTATGAAATACATTTAGGAGTGTTTGTTCTTGGGATTTAATTATAGAGGAAGTGTGGTTTCATTGTGAATTCCCATTAGTGTGGCACAGGACTGACTACAGCTACACCCTTAATATAAAGCCAGACTCAAAATGGGAGACTAATTTTTCTGTAAGGAGGCTTTGAAATTCCCTGCTGGCCTAGTTTTGCTTTTGAACAGATCTTTATCCCAAGTGGTTAGAAGCTGAATTCAGTATTGCGGTGTCAATCAAGTGCCAGTCAAGGATATCAAGGCTGATACTTGCATTTCTGGTTCTTTCTGTTCTTGTTTAAGGTTAAACAAAAAAAAAACGGGTCTAGTTTTTGGTTCCTTACTGAACAGAAAAGAAAGCCTTTGAGAAAGAAGGAAAAAGAGCTGAGGAGTCTTTTAAACAAATGTAAGAAAATATCTTTTACACTGAATATACCTTATAGGAACTCAGGTTTCCTTGCACATATGAGCAGAGTGGTTGGACTTCGTTTGCAGATCGAAAGAGTGGAGACAATCAGGGAGCGCCATGACTTGTTGAACGATCTGCAAATATTTGAGGGTTTGCAGCCTTGAAGGGTGCTTTCAAGCTATAAAAATGGTCTGAAGGAATCAAGTGTGCCTGTTGCTTTTGCCCAGCCTTGAGAGCTGTAAGCTGTGCAAACAGGCAGGAGGCCCGAGGGCTGCCATGGGTCTGCCATGGGACCTGCAGCTGGCTGGCACGGGTGGGTCTTCCCAGCGACATCACTGTGTGATGGGAAAGGCCTGCAGTAAAAGGTGAGTTTCACTGCGAAGTGATGTGTGGCAACTTCTGCTGTTAACCTTTTTGGTAGTCTTCTATGTTTGTATTTAGTGCAAGAGAGTAGATACAGGATTTTTAATTAGCTGGTTTTAATAGGGATCTTGCTTTAGTTTGTCATAAAACCCTTATTTCTTCTGGTATGTTCTTCTTAAATGACAAAAGTAGCTCTTATTTTTTCGAATTTTTCTTATGAAAGTAGCACCTGTGATGAGAAGAAACTCGGAACCTGAAAGGCAATTACTGTGTGTAAAGGAGATGTATGTTTACTTAAGTTGTATTTATAGATGTATTTTTAGTACCCTGTTTATAGATATGTTTTTACTACCCCATAACAAGAGTCTTGTTACAGGCTTTGACCTGGGTTCAGCACATCCAGTGTGGGCATCCTTCTGAGGGGCTGAAGTTAGAAACACACATGCTTATGTTTCCTTGATAGTCAGCGAGGAAGGGGGTGTCTGATCAGAATCGAAAGAACTTGAGGTGTCCCTTCCAGCTTGGGTGTCTCAACAAGAGCCCAGTTAGGTAGTGCAAGTCTTCTATGTAGTAAAAGTATTCACATTGGGTAATGCAAGGCTTCATTGTCAGAAAACTTGTTGCAGATGCTCTACCTTTTTTATTTTTTTTCCCTTTTATTCCTACTACCTTCCTATATCATGCTTGAATTGTGTATTTATAAAATTCAAAGCATGACTGATAAAACAATTGGCCTAATTTCAGTGAAATATTGTGTGTGTATACGTGAGAAAGAATCAGACAGACAGGCAGACTTTATCCATAAAGAAACTTAGTTGGGTAAGCATTACCCTTCTGTTAATAGTGCAAGATACAGTGCCTTGAACTTTAAAGCCCTGTAATCATTTGTTGGGGAAGCAGAGAAACACTGCACATTCTCCAGATCTTCAGATCTTTGTTGGATGTTAGCAGTTCGATCATCTGACTTTTTTCCTTTAGTTTTATTGTTGATGCTCTTTCGTTGATCCATTTGCATTATAATCTACTGTTCCCCCTTCCACTACATCAGACATGCCTCCAGGTCATGTCCTTGTTTTTGAGTGTGTCCTGTCACTGCCAGTTAAAATTAGGACAATTTAGAAATCCCTTCTCTGCCCTCTGTGGTGAGGAATGCTTCCTTCCCCTGCCCCACATGCATTTAATTACGTTAACACAGCTGCCCCAGTACCTTGATGCTGACAGTAGGTCGTTGGGGTTTTTTTGGCCGGCGGGTGAACCAAGTGAGCCACAGATCGATGGCATTGATTGAAAAATGTAGAGTGTGACAGATGGGAGCAATTAGTGGCAGCTTTCTGGGCAAATGACAAGAGAAGAGCTCCCTAAGCTACCCCTCACCTCCCCACTTATAGTGGTGTGGGTTTTTTTAGGCCTGGGTGGAGGTATGTCCCATAGGATACGATGAAGGTCAAACTGCTCCAGAGGGGGGCAATTTGGGAATGGCACCCCATCAGTAGAGGTTTTGTGGCAGAATTGTTCTCTTGCACCCAAATGGAGTTAACAGGGCTGGAAAGAGAGAGGCCAGCAAAAACACGCCCGTTGGGTTTGGGGGGGTGTGGAGCTGTGTACGTGCTCTCGCGTCTGGCTGCACGTAGGGCTGCTGGGTGAGACACAAAGATCCTGCTTCTGCTGAAGGCAGGGCTGTATCTGCTGCCTGTTGTGCCTGTCAGCTGCTCAGCCAGGGATTTGGAAGGATTAGGAGCGCATCTCGTCGAAACACAGCAAGGGGGAAGAGAATTATTTGTTTAACTGAAGTTTTGGGTGTTACCATGATCTTTTATTTCCAGGTTCATGCGAAGCAGATGGCTGGAGCAGACAGTATTGCCCACAAGCAGTATGGATTCAATTTGAGCTCAGAAGGGATATGTCTGCAATTTGCATTCAGCGTGGCTCTAGTGTTTCTGTTCTGTTCATAGCTCTGGTTCTTGTTGAGATTTTTTTTTTGTTCTGTTAAGGAAATACTGGGCAGGTTACTTTAGAAAGCATCAAGTAGGTGGGAACTTTTAACTCTGGAACTCTGGTATGCAATTTTAAGAGTGTATTTGTCATTTTTTACATATTTGTGATTAAAGTGTGAGTTTAGGTAAAGAAAGACTTGACAGTTTGGACTCACTTTAGCATGACAGTTATGCTTATATATAAGCAAAAACAATTTATTTTTTTTGTCCCTCACTTTAGTGGTTCTTGGTCTGAAAGTAGCAGTATTTATCAAGCTATACTCTAATTAGTCTACTGGACTATTATCCTGGAATTACTTATTCTTACTGAAAACCAGTTGTAGAGTACTCCTCCGATGGTTAAAGAGAGGCCTTAGGATGTCTGAACTAGCCTGATCACAGCCAGTTTTATATCTGTTTATTCTCGTGCCAGTGCTGACTTTTGGGGGTAAAAAAGGTCCCCCTGTCTTGTGCTTAACTTTAGTGTATTTATAGGATACAGTTGATTCATTTTACAGTCCTTTTGTGTTACTAAGCTGCTTCGGTCAAACTCTTCTCTTGCATGAAACTCTTCTCTGTTCCCATTTTAGCCTAATAATTGTGTATTTCTTCCAGTTTGAATTGCGTTGTTTGGATTTTATTTTAACTTGATCACAATGGCACTCTTCTTCTTTTTTACCCACTGGAAAATTTGCTAGTGCCTTGTGCAGTGGTATTATTTCTCTCTTTTTCACAGCTGGAAATGTGAAATGTTGAGAGAAACACCGTAGGATTTCCCTTGCCTTTTTTTCTCTTCTGGCACTCTGGATTTGATTTGTGATCTCAGTAGTAGTGCACGTGCCATTGCTTCTCTCTTGTTGTCAAGCGATGTTTTTTCCACAGTTTATAGGAATTCAGAACACCTTTTTGCTGAACTTTATTTGCGCGTTCTTGTCCTTGTTATTTTAAATATCATCATGTCTCCCTTGTGCCGCTCTTTTCGCTGTATTGCTCTGTTGTGCCTTGTGCATTGGCACGGGACAGTAACTTTCAGTGCAGGATTGTTAACATATACTAGTTTTTTCTGTTTCTCCAACGTTGTTAATAAAAGTCTTACATTAGGTGTAGCCTACAAACAATCTTCAGAGATCAGTTCAACAACCTTCCTTCGCCGTGGTACGTTTTAGCCTTTTGTTTTCTAAAATTCTTTTACCCACATGCACTGCCTGGTTGTTTACCAATCGTTAAACATAAAAAACGAGTTTTGAATGATGAAGTAGTCACGAAAGTAGTAGATTGCCCTGAACTAACTGGCATTATCTGCAAGGACAGAAGGTGCAGGGCGAGACAGCACCTTGGTGTGGGCAGCTTAGCAACTACTGGTAAAGGCAAATGTCTGCATGTTGAGATAAGAATTATCTAACCCAGTTCTGTTTTGAGCCACTCTTGTGGGTCTCAGTT